TAATGTAGAACCATGTTTTGTAATACTGATATGAATACCACTTGATCATAGTATGATTTCTTTCATTTGTTGCTGAAGTCTGGTGGCTAGAATTTTGTTGAAAATATTTGCATCTACGTTCATAAGGGATGTTGGTCTGTAATTTATTATTATTTTTTTTTTGGTGGTGATTTTGCCTTGTTTAGGTATCAGGGTTATGCTGAAACAGTTTAGTAATGCAACATCTTCTTCAATGTTTTTGAAGAGATTATGTAGGATTTGTGTCAATTCATCTTTGAATGTTTGGTTGAATTTTCCAGTGTAGTCATCTGGTCCTTGTTTGCAATTTTTTATAGTATATTTAGTCTCTTCTTTTGTAATGGGTCTGTTTAAATTTTCTATCTCTGTTTTGTTAGACTGTATAGGTAGTATGATTCTAGGAATTTGCCCATTTTATTAGGTTTTCAAATTTTTTAAGAGTATAATTTTTCATAGTAATCTGTTATGATATTCTTTGTCTCTGTTGGCTTTGTAATGTCACCAGTTTCATTCCTTAAGGTGGTTATTTGCCTCTTCTCGTTTTTACTTTTATCAATCCATCTAGTGGTTTGTCTATTTTATTTATTCTTTCAAAGATGGTGAATATTGGTTGAAAGAATGAATGAATGAATTGTTTGTTGAGCTTATCCTTACTTTTACCTATTCTGGTTTTTCAATTCATACTTTAACCACTCTAGGACAAACTCTTATCATTTTATACTTTGACTATTTTAATATTCCTTGAACAACAAGGAGGTCACATCTTCTGACCTCCTCTAATCCCACAAGAGGAAGACAGAATCACCATCAATAGCCCAAGGCCTATTCCTGCAAGGCCAGACATGCTGCCTCCCTCCAGCCCTTTCACCAGCTGTTCCTCCCAAAGCACCCACCACCTCTCTCCTGGGTTCGATAATTCGCTGCAGTGGCCACACAGAACTCACGGATTATGGGGTTTATTAGGGAAGCACCAGGCTACAAGTTCAGGAAGAATGCTCAGTCTCTCTCCCAGCCTACAGCCCCTCAGCCAACAGTCTCTCGCAGTCTCTTTCCCAGCAGTGCTGGTCCCTCGGTGTCTCACTCAGCAATGCGTGTCTCTTGCATCTCTTTCCCAGCAGCACATGTCTCTTTCAGGGGCACATGTCTCTTTCAGTAGCACGTCTTCCTCCACCAGCAGTCAGAGAGAGTTCTGCCTCTAGGAGGCCTCCTTTTGAGCCCGGCACGGTGGTCAAACTAGCCAACTATAGCATCAGAACTCTAAGCACCTGAGAGAGAGTTGGCACCTCCCAGAACATTGTTTTGTGCCACTCCCAACAGAAATACTCCAGGTGGACACCTTCAGCAATCAGGAGCTCCTCAGTTGCTCATAGCAAATCCTACCTTGGAGTTTACAAAGTCTTATGGGTAGAAAAGCCACATAAAGTAATTTACTACACTGCAAATATCTTGTAAATTGTGTTTCCTACTTAGATCATCTAGTGCCTAAGGCATTTGCTACTAACCAGAAGTCTGGCAGTTCAAACCCACCAGCCACTCCCCGGAAGGAAGACTGGATAATCTACTTCCATAGTGATGCTGTCTTGGAAACCCAAGGAGAGGTCGTTATGAGTCAGATCCGACTCAATGACAGTGAGTTTTTAGTTTTGCTAAAAAACTAGAAATTGTTCTTTAGTGTGAAGGAAAGTCAAAACTCTTAAATGTATGGTTACAATGCTTTTGAAGCTTGGAATCAACATATGTTTGAAATATGCAAAATTCTTTCACATGAAACTTCCAGTCCAGTTTAACTGGTTGACTTGCTAATCTCTAAATACATCACATCCATTCATACCAGTCTAGTTTCTCAGAAAACATCCTTCTCTGTATATCCTTGCTAAATTTAATCATCCTTGATGTGCCATGTCAAGTGGAAGCCATCCATTGCTTCCATATAGTCTCCCCTTTATTAGGTGGATATAGACAACATGCTCTAAAGTGAGTATTAGAGCCAGAGAGAAGCATTTGGCTTCCAATTCTACTTTTGACTGAGTAGTCTCATTTTTCTTCTCTGTAAAATAAGAATATTAATATTTGCCCAAAAGGGATATCATTGGTAAATGAAATATCCAGGAAAGATATTTTGACATGATCTTTTGCTCTTGCTTCAAAACCAAGCGACTGAGAAATACATTTTTGGGGACATTAAGCAAAATTGAATATAATCTGGAAAATAGGTGATATTTTGGAATTAGTATAAATTTAATTTTGTGTTGTTGTTGTTGTTGTTATGTGCCATTGAGTTGGCCCCGACTCATAGCGACCCCTCCTTGGGTTTCTGAGGCAGTATCACTATGGAAGTAGGATTGACCAACCTTCCTTCCGAGGAGTGGCTGGTGGGTTTGAACCGCCAGCGTTCTGGTTAGCAGTCAAGTGCTTTAGACATTATGCTACCAGAGCTCAACAACAATTTTGTGTTATATTAATATTATCATTATGTGGGATGATGTCAACAGGGTCTCTATGAGTTGGAATTTACCTTAGAGTAGTGGGTTTTGCTCTTTTTTATGTTAAAGAATTTAAGGGTGAAATTTTATAATATCTAAAATTTACTTTAATATGGTCCTACAAAAAATATCCATTTATCTAATTAGTGTTTACTATAAATGTAATTAAATAATTAATCATGAAAATAAATAAATAACTATGTACAGAAATTAACAACTATTTTATTTGGTTACATAGGAAGTTTGAGGGGGCAGTGAGTTTATGTTAATGGAAAAGGAACAATTTGAAAAGGTAGGGCAAGAATGGTTACACAACTTGAAGAGTATTATCAATGTCAGTGAATTGTACATATAGAAATAGTTGAACTGGTGTATGTTTTGCTGTTTATGTCTTCAACAACAAGAAAGAAAAGAAAAAATGTTATTTTACTTATACTTCTACTGGAGCAACGTAACTATGAGCATAATGACTAGGTCTGCCTGTATTACCACTACATCTCTGATCCTTGGCATATAGCCTTTAGCAAAAAGGCATTTATAATAAATTTTAAAATAATAAATAGAAAAAAAAATCCTGAACTTGTTGAATATAATTACTGGACATATAAATATTCATTAAGCTATTATTTCTACTTTCCTATATGTGTGAAAATTTTCTAAATAAATCTCTAATTGTGATGACATGCAATTATTTAACTCAGACACCAGGAAATAATAATTTATAAATAAAAACTGCTTAATAAATAGTAAGTGTTAAATAATTGTCATTCCTTTTCATTATAGCACCTGTTTTTCTCCAAATAAGCAATTCTAGAGGATTGTCTTCTCCTTGTGTTTCCTTCTTTCCATCCACCAAAGTTTATACCACCTTACTTAGAAATAAGTAAATGCTTATTGGATAAATGCAAGGATATCCATAATATTCATTCTTAGAGAGAAATTTTCATCAAAAGCAACAACAAAAAACTACCTGACTATATCTACTCTACTGCAAGTGTTTCTTTAATGCAACAGCAGACTGTGAGCTTCTTGAGGGTAAAGGCCTTTTTGTATTCATTGTTTAATAAATCTATGAAGCACAGCATTAGGCCTAGTACATTTATTGGATGTTTATTAAATGCTTTCATGAATGACTACAGGAATAAATGGTGTTATTTAAACCCTTTCAGCATCTCACAGACTTTATTAGATGTAATTGACAAAATAGAAAATAGTGTTTAATTCCTTATACTCCATATGCTGACATCTTCAATAAGTCTTTATGTTTCTCAATTATTTAATTAGACTAAAAGACAGTCAACTTATAGTCATGTACAAATCTAAAAGAAAGGGCTTAGAAAATAAAAGTAAGTTAACTAACCAAAAAGGAGCTCTGGTGGTGTACTGGGTAAGGCATGTGGCTGCTAACCAGAAGATTGCTGATTCAAACCCACCAGCTGCTCTGTGGCAGGAAGATGAGGCAATCTACTTCCATAAAGATTTTTAGCCTTGGAAACCCAATGCGGGTTGTTATGAGTTGGAATCGACTTGATGGCAGTGGGTTTGGTTTTTTGGCTTTAACTAACCAAAAGACTGATTCTGTCTATTGTAGGGTAGTCAGAGCAAAGAAAAAGGATCAGGAAGTAAAAACAAAGCTTCAACCAAAGATATCAAGAATCTCAGAATTTTAGAGTGTCCACGTGATGTAGTTTAACAACATTATGTTTTTCAAAAGAAAATTTTGAAGCTATAAGACTTCTTCTAAGTACAAGACACAGATTTCTTGATGCTTAAAGAATTAAGATACAACTACCTGAGTTACTAGGAGCTCTGGTAGCATAGTGCCTAAGGCACTTGACTGCTAACCAGAAGGCTGGTGGTTCAAACCCCCCAGCCACTCCTCAGAAGGAAGATGAGGCAATCTACTCCCATAGTGATACTGCCTTGGCAACCCAAGGAGGGGTCACACAACACAACACAACAACAACAACAAACCTGAGTTAGTAATTTGACTTCTGTCCATTACCTTTCTCTTGATCTCTAGAATGAAATAAAAGCATTATTGATGTAGAAATGAAAGTGAGCAAATTAAAATTACTAAAAGCTAGATCTACAGTTATTAGAAAGGGCAACACTCTTGCTCTAGAGATGCACAGATAATTCTCTCAGCCTAGCTCTCACTTTACTCCTTCTTTGCAATCCAGTCTTTACTCTTTCCCAGAGAGAGTGAAAGAGATGGAGAGAGTGAGAGTAAGCAAGAGTGAGAGAAAAAGAGATGGGGGGCAGCAAAAAGAGAGAGAGACAAAAGTTTAATGGGTGTAAGAACAGGTGATATGGGAGATGTAATGAAGTCAGAGTCATTAATTGGAAGAAAGAAAAGTACAATGGTGAGAAATATGTGCCTTATAGTTTTTGCTTAAAGATACAAAACAAAAGCAAGATAATTTGAAAAATTTTCTTCAGTATTAAGAGTGCCAGGATATCTTATAAATTAGAATGTAGAAAATGTGGCCTACTTACCCATTCTGTATGGCAGCTGTGGGGTCATAGGTCAGAGCCATGCCAGCCTGTGAATAGTGGGGGAGAGGGAAGAAAATAGATCTTAAAATTTTTATTACTGTATCCAAACTTTCAGTACACACAAAGACTCTTATCTTTCCATACTATGATTTAAGTTTATTTTCTCCTATATATTTCCCTACTCTTACTGTCAAGACTAGCATTTTTACTACTCACGTACCAGGCTCACCAGTGAATCGGAAGCTTATATTGTATAACTGGCAAACCAAGGAACAAAAGCAGGTTGGATGACTTCTTTTGCTACTTCATAAACCATCCACTGTCTAATATGGTATCCTTATAATTTCTCACTGTTGTCACAAGCATCTTTTGTAGAACTCATGGTATGAAAAAAAAAAAAAAAAGTAATAATGAATCCTGTAGTCAGGATAAAAATAAAAACCATTTAAAATGTATTTGACTTTTTAGAAGAAAATGTTAAGAAATATTTATTTTAAAATAGGTCATATGCCTTAGGTATGTAAGTAATGAGCCACAGAGTACTCGCCTGATATATTGTTAATGTTTATCCTACTAAGAGTGGCAGAAAGTGAAGGTCCTTTTTACATGACAGAAATTCTAGGTCATGTGGTTAATAAAAAGGGGGAGTGGTGATGTTGCTCTGTTTCTAAGAATAGTACCATTGCTAAAAACTACCTTTCTGTAATCTGGCAGTAGTTTCAGAAAAGAACATAAACTTTATGAATGTGGATGCATAGCCTTTCTTGTCCTTTCATATACATCATCACACTTGACCTTCAAAACAGCCTTATGAAGTAGGCAGAAGAAATTCTTCCTCCATTTTATAGATGAAGAAACTGAAGCTTGGAGAGATCAAGTGATTTGCTCAAGGTCACTCAGATGAAGGCAGAACTAGACTTCAACCCAAGTCGTCTCATGTGGGCTCTTTTCCACCATGCCTGTACTATGACATTGACCTAGGTTTTGAATGATTTCTGAAAGTCATCTCCACCAATGTGGGAGATGTGGCCTTCTGGACACAGGCCTGTCAGCAAGGTCATCATTTATGAGCAGGAACAGAATGTGGAACAAAATTTGAAACTGCCTACTTGGTCTTCAAGATGAATTTTTTGTTTTCATATTTTTGAAATTTAAAAGTGAATTATACCAATGTCAACTTTCTGGTAAGATGTTATCATTGGGGGAAACTCACTAAAGGGTACACAGGATCTCTGTGTGTATTTTTTTACAACCTCCTATGGAACTATATTTATTACCATAAAAAGTAAAAATAAATAAAGAAGAACAACAAGAGAATTAGCTTTGAAGGTATTTGTAGAGGAATACAAATACTCTAACAATTTTAATGAAAAGTAAAATTAGCTTTCATGTTTGAGTTTTTGCAGTGTGGTTTAAGGTAGCTGTCTTACTGGACTTGAAGATTTCTTCAGATATAGCATATTACTGAAATAAAAAGTTGCAGCTTTCCTAACCTAGTGCCTGAAGTCCAGTGTGGCTGGCTACACTCAAGTTTAGATTTGTTTACTTTATTTTCCCTAAGTAGTAAAAAAAAAAATACACACACACACACGCACACACACGTTATTAAGATTGGCATGAGGGACAAATGAGTATAACCATGTATGAATGGAACTTAGTATAAAGGGAACATACATAATTTTAAATGGAGTTGGCAAATACAGTTGAGATGAATGTCAGAAGTTAACAGAGCTGTATTGAGAACACATGTTTAACAATAACTGTCTGACCTCTCTAAACTTAAGTTTCTCACTCATGTTAAAGAAATATGCAACAGATAATATGATAAACTGGGGGAGGAGGAAATGAGCAAGGGAAAAACTAATAAAGGCTTTATTTTTTTGCCTCAAGAGAGGCACGGGTGGTGGTGCCAAAAGACACCAAGATGCTAAGTCTAAATTCTTCCCTGGGAGGAACCTTATGCCACATGACTAGCAGGAGCCTGGTCCTGTTGAAGATTCCCCAGAATGAAGCTGCCTAAGACTTAGCTGAAACTCCATGGTCCTGGGTATTGGAAAGGGCAGTTGTAAAAGCTGTTTATCCAGGATGAGATTCCCTTTCAAAAGCACTGAGCTTCTCATTTCTAACTAGACCAAGATGGTACATCAGAAGCAGAAGTATATTGAGGTTGGCAGACATACTATTAGATCATAAGGGGTTTAGGATGATAACCACATCTTCAGCCTCTAAACTACCCCAAATTGTTTAAATCTTGAGGGACATACAGGGAATCTTTCCACAGTTATTTCTTTTCCTTGTATTTATTTTCAAAAGTGCTCACACACCAATGCTACATAACCCTCTTGTATTATATACACTGTCTTGAACAATCTTTTCTTATTTCATGCTTCTTTTGACACCTTTAGGTAAGATTTTTTTTTCCCTCACATTTTATTTGAATTCCTCATGGATTCTAATTAAAGCAATCACTTCTGCCTAGGGAAATACAGGGAATATCAATAAAGTCTAGCTCATTGTTGAATATCTATTTGATAATCATAAAAACCTAAGTTGGTCTCTTCTTCCATCTTAGACCCTCTCATCACTCTCTTTTCACAGCTAGGTAATAACTAAGTAGGTTGCAATTTGTAGAATGCAAAGAATATGTGTTTTGGAGTGAGACAGACCTGGATTAAAGTCCTAGCTCTGTTACTTTCTAGAAGTGTGACTTTGGGCAAATTATTTAACTTATTTGAGCCTGTTTCCTCAATTGTTAAATGTTAAATGGTGTAACAACAGCCACATCATTGGGTTGTTGTGAAATTTAAATAAGATTAAGTTTGTAAAGGCCCAGCATAGTGCCTGGAGACAAGACACATACATAAATAATTATAATACAAAGTAATATGTGGTAAATGTCATGAGTGGCATGCATGAGGTGTGGAGAAAAGAGACTGAGAGTGATCAGGAAAAGTACATGGAGGAAGTTCAGCTGAATAGACCTCTGAAAAATGAGTAGGATTTTCACATACAGAGATGAGAGATTAAGTCCAGTTCATGCAAAAGTGATAGTGTGGGAATGTGTGTAAAGGAGAAGAGTAAGGCAGGTGATCCTTCTGTAGTAGAACGTGTAGTGAGGCACAGTGGGAAGTAAGACCCAGAATGTAAGGAGGGAGGAACTTGATTGGCAGGCTCCTCTTGTGAAGCCAGTGTATGTTTTTGAGTTAGTAAGTTATACAGTCAAAGGATTAAATTCAACTGCTTACCAGAAGGTTGGCAGTTCAAATCCACCAGCCACTCTCTGGAAGGAAGATTGGACGATCTACTTCCGTAGTGATACTGCCTCAGAAACCCAAGGAGGGGTCGCTATGAGTTGAACCTGACTCAAAGGCATGGAGTTTGGTTTTGTTTTTTGCCAATGAGTGGATTCCAACTCATAGCCACCCCCTTTGGGTTTCCAAGGCAGTATATCTTTATGGAAGTAGGTTGCCCAGTCTTCCTCTTATAGAGTGGCTGGTGGGTTTGAACTTCCAACCTTCTGGTAAGCAGTGAAATGTCTTAGGCATTGAGCCACCAGAGCTCCTTCAAAGAAGGGTGGACAACAGGAAAGAAACAGCATGAAAACCCTAGAAAACAAGGTAAATGTCAAGAAATACGCAACTTGGGGATGGAAAAGTGGAGAGAATCTAAGGTGAACTGTCATTGCAAAATGGTAGAGAATGAATATAAGTTCCACCTACTTCATGATTTTGCCAGGGGCAGTCCTGCCTCTGAGTGCCTTTGCAAGAGGAGAGAACAAAAGGTAATCTAAGGTCAAGTGTCACTTGCATCATTCTGGGTAACAAAACAAGACATGGGTTAAAACAAAGGATGTTTTAAACTGAAAGGGTGCTTGGCTGAATATCACAGCACAATGACTAACACTCCGCTGCACTCAGTTTCTACTTCATGTGTCAAAGACTGTTGAGGTATAATTCCAACAAGGTTTTTATGCAGATTTTACATTCTCTTTCTTTTTGTTTTGTTTAAACTAAAGGAAAAAGAAATTGATTTTTCTGCTCTGTCTAGCCAACTTTTGTACATGAAGTCATCATTATATAATTACCAAATATTAAGAGATGCTTACAAACTCCAGACAGCACTAGTGGCGTAATGCCTAAGGCATTTGACTGCTAACCAAAGGCTGGCAGTTCAAATCTACCAGCCACTCCTCAGAAAGAAGGTTGGGCAATCTACTTTCATAGTGATACTGCCTCGGAAACCCAAGGAGGCGGCGCTATGAGCCAAGGTCGAACTCCACAGCAATGAGTTTGGTTTGGTACAAACTCCAGAGTTACACAGAAACAAAAATAACTTGGAACAAAATGAAAATGTCACACCACATATATAGAAAAGTGATATTTAATACTGTCACTTTCTTACAAAAAAGGCTTGTCAGTAAATATCAGATTCACAAATATGATCCATTTTTCAAGTTCACATTATTTGTGTACTGAAGGCATTTATAATTTACTTAAATATAAGGGGGTATTCTTGTCATTTCCCATAACAGCTTAGTTTTGTCTTAGTATTTTAGCCATAAAAAGGAATATTTCTAGGGCTTTCAGACAAAATCCATACAGTAAGAACTAAATATTTTAGAAAAAAATAAAAATGATTTATTGATTTTCAATAAATTTTAATAATTATCAATTATTATGATAATTATAATACTTTAATCATTTTCAATAAATATAGGGGATTCATTGAGAAAGAAGTAGTTTGACAAAGGAGCTAGATATTTGAAATTTATAACTGTAAGTATAGGTAAAAAGAGCTAATAATTATGGAAATACTGCTTAAAGTATACACATACACCTTGAGCAGAGTAGGCATAACCACTCTGGAAATGTCTTCTGCACTGTGAGTAAGGCTTGCTCTTATCTGAGGAACAAAGAAGCACTGATTTTAACAAAGCCAACTGAGAAGAAAAGTGAACAGAACTGTTTTATCATCTTTGAAAATATTTTTACACTGTAATGTGAGTGAAAGTCAAAAAGTTAGGATACAGCCTAAATTCTTGAAAAAT